CAGGTGTACTTTGCCTCGTCTGCTCAATGGTGACAGTTTACAAAATTGTAACACCTCTGCCCATGCATGAGAAAAAAGACAAAATACTATCCGTCTCTATCTGGAATACTCTATGTAAATCAGGTAAGACACACCAGGAAAGGGCTGCAGGCATGGACATGGGGTCTGGGTTACAACATCTGGAAAAGCAGCCAGCAGCCAGGTGGAATCTCTGGTTGCCTAAGTGAGGCGTTTATATCCTCACAGGGAGCCTCTTCCCTCCATTTAGGGAAGCCAGAATGGATGTGGATGTTTCTTCTGAATGTGTGGTGAGCAGAGGTGAGGCCCTGGTTTTTCTCAGCCCTGTACCTGAAAGAAAATTGCCCTAAATGTGAAATTGCGAAGAGCACGTTGGGATTCATGGAGAAATACGTAACTGGAGTCCTGGTGGCATCATGGACTGCACCTGAAGTTAAAGTGACCGCAGTCCTTTCCCCTGACTTCCAAAGAGCCTCTGGGACTGCTGCAGATGATGATAAAGCAACGTGTGACATGGCGGAGAGGCCACCCGAAAGACTCCTGATCCAAAAATCGAATCAGATTCACCTGCAGCAAGAATGTCGCCATGGCCGCCTGACAGGGCCCTCTGTGCTAGCAAGTGTTCACATATTTGCTTGCAACACCAAGGGAACCTTTCAAACCTGGAGTCTCATATCTTCTCTCTCTAGGGTGGGAGTCACCGAACCTATGTTTTATACACACTCCCAGGTAAATGGGAGCCACTGGTCAAACTGATCGTGTCGAATGATGAGTAAGGCAGTCAGACTTGGATTCTGAGCATCTCCACAGTAGAAAGACAATTCTTTGGACCAGGCAGAGTACTTTAGAGGAATAATTGCAGACTACACCCATAGAGTCAACTCTGCCTCATAACAACCCTATAGAACAGAGTAGAACGACTCTATAGGGTTCCCAAGGCTGTGCATTGTTATGGAAATGGACTACCTCACGCGTCTCCCAGGGAGCAGAAGATGTTGCAAAATGCCAACGGACTGGTCAACAGCTCAACACTTAACCCATGGCACCACCAGGGCTCCTTCAATACTAAATGAGTGTCCTATAATGATCAACAGTAGCCAGAAGGCTTTTGTGGAAATAGAAAGTTTAATTTTTAAAATCAAATTTTAGAATACAAGAATTAGATAGTGTAGGGGTCACATGTTGGGCTGCGGTCCACGTGGTTGGCAAAACCACCAGCAGCTCGTGCAGAAGAAGAGCTGGGCTTTCTACTCCTGTCGACAGTAATGGGCTCAGAAGCGCACTGGGGATCACTCTGAATCAGCACTGACTTGAAGACAACACATTTTGGTTCTATCTGGTCGTAGGGCTCTGGTTACTTCTGGTGACAGCATTTGCCCAAAAGGGGCTTTCCTCGAAGGATCCAAAAATCCACCCCTCGCTACGGAGTTGATTCAGACTTAAATCAACTCCGGGGCTCCCCATTACTTGTGTATGCTTGCGAAACATTATATAGCACTCACCCCAGACTCTAGTCCGTAGCCCTAACTATCGCCATGTCTAAAAGGCTCCCTGGTTAAAAGTAATTCTAACATACGGACAGATTTGGGGGCATTTTCTACAACCCAGGGCCCCTCAGGGGACTCATGAACTGGGTCTTACTGCAGGTGAGGTTCATAATTTATGGATTTATCGATGGGGGGCATCTCGGGCAATGTGTCACCAAGTGAAACCACTGTCTGCAACTCACAGCCTAAATGAAACCTCACATTTTGATCTTTAGATACAGAGCCCGCTATACTTTGCTCACGGAGATGACCATCCTGCCAGATGCCCAGCACAGAAGATACAACATTTATTTAACTTATGCCGTAACCAGAAAACCAAGCCCACACAGCCAAGGTGTCAATTCTGATTGAGAATGACCCTATAGGACAGAATAGATCTGCCCCTATGGATTTTCAAGATGGAAAATCTTTTCAGGAGCAGAAAGCTTCACCTTTCCTCTGTGAAGCAGTTAGTGGGTTCGAACTGCTGTACTTGCAGCTGGCAGCTCAGCATGTAACCCACTATACCACCGGGGCTCCTACCTTGTGCCAATATTAAGTTTAAATTCAGTTGAGCCTTATTTGAATGACACCAATTTATATTTATAAACGTTTGCCTTTAATTGTAGTGCATGCTGTAAAAATAATATTGCTGGCCTTTTGAGGGGTGTTGTCCTCATTATACAATTGACACAAGCATTACTTATTGAATATTTATGTACATGCAAGACTCAGGCTAGATGCTAGACTTGAAAGACAAACCTATTTTTTAATTACTATAAGCTTTTATGACCATCTGTGCTCAACTTATGCAATTTATCATCCTCTCACCAGGAATTTACATTTAATAAACCCTGCAGTTTCAAGGTGTTCAAAGATCACTGTGGAAGTCCATTCACAGGCCCTGAGTTAAGAAACCTGATATAAAATAGCATAAATTTTCCTCTTCTAAGAGACACTAATTAGAAAACGTACAGCTGCTAAGAGTGACTCTTGGAAGTTCATGAGACCAATTTATCCTATAATTGATGTTGTAAAAGTGGCATCCCAGACCCCTCCATGAAGACAGTATCTTTGCTCAAAGCAGGCTCCTCACAAACCCCAACTTCACAGCCCCTGAGGCGATGCTGATTCCTCGGGAGCCCGGAAGTGGAGTGGGTTCCGTGTTAGGCTGCTAATCACCAGGCCAGTGGTTTGAAGCTGATTGCGGTACCAATTGTACAACACTGAGGTGATGGAGCGATGGAATGTTACCACATCTGGAAGAACTCCCAATAAAAGGATTGAGAAAGTAAAGAAAGAAAGAAAAGAAACCCCAGTCACTCCAAAGGAAAAAGAGGAGGCTTTCTAAAGATGTACAGTCTTGGGAACCAAGAATGGCAGTTCTACTCTGCCCTATGAAGATTCCTTAGCTCTCTGAAAACAGGAAGGGGGGGGGTGTCTTTTACATTGTCAAACGGTTTTATCGGAAAATCAGAAGCACGTATCCAACAAAGCAGTACAGGGTCCCCTCCATTCGCTACATGAAGTTTCCCGGAATAAGCGTCAGCTAAGCCAGAGTGGTCCGTGTGCAGGACCTCTGCGAAGGAACAGCATCGGGGTGGGTGAGATCCGTGCGAGCGTTTCTGAGCTGTTCTTGCCTGGTGAGCGCAAGCCACACACATACAAATATGAGCATGCACACGTGGGGATGTCTTCAAAGATGTCTCAGAACAACTCCGAGAGCTCTGGGACAACCCCGATGTATCTACAGGTTCTCTATATTTGGAAATTCAAGCATCCAACCCATAAGCTGACTCTGGAAGGGACCCTCTGCCCATTTTTGCCATTTGACACTTACCCTGTCATGAAAATATATTTGAGGGGAAAGGGAGATGGGAGTAATCTCAACATAAGCCCAGTATTTGTTTTCAATGTGCAGCCAGTGGTAATAATCTGTTGCAATTGCTGTCTATCAAACCGTTTCTTGATTTGGGGTGAGGGGTGGGGGAGTGGAGGGAGACTAGGAGACACGCACACTGTAAAAGTCATGAATTTAAAAAAAAATCTATTTCCAACATGCAACAGCTATTTTATTGAGTTGTTGTTTTGCCAGGCACTGACGTAGCTCATCGACAAGGACCAGGTAAGTTAAGGGCTAATTATTATTTGACTCAAAGTTATGTATTTTATATATTGTTTGATTACAGGAATATGTGGTTGGAGCAAGATGACAATGTCTAGTAATCTGATTTAAAACCCTTATTTCACATGTAGCTCCTTCCAACCAGTGGCCAGCACAGCAGGGAACCTCTCTAGAAAACATGGCTACTGGTCACCTGCATCCACGTGGAAATAATCTCCCATTTACCAGCAGTTAGTCACCTGGAGTTAGTCATTTGTCTGGGCCCCAGTATCCTTATTATCAAAGCAAGATAGGATTATTGCATTACTTATCCTGAGGATTTAATGTAATACATAAAAAGTGCTTAGAACAGTGCCTTCAAGTCTTAACTGTAGCTACTGTCAGTATCATTTGTCACTATTATTAATTTACATTAAAATAAGGGAGACAGTGGTTTTTACCGGCTTAGGTTACGTGGATCATTTTGAATAGTAGTGTCCTAAATGCATTATTCGTTGCTAAAACTACAGAAAGCAGTTCCCTGTGCAACTCTGTTCTATCAACTTCCATAGAAAAAGGGCAACTCCTAGATCAAAAGTGCCTGTCTACCATCCACCCGTTAACCAGTCCGCAAACCTCTGACCCATTTGGGTTAGAAAATCAAAGATGTGCTCTCATTTCCACTCAAGGTCTCTTTCCTGATTCTTCTTGGGAGCACTGAGTCTGCCTTCTGCTGGCCAGACAACGGACCGTCCCTGGGATTAAAGCCAGGGAAGCTTACAGGTAAGACCCCATTCTGATTTTTGATACAGAGATGAATGCTTAAAAAAAAAATCCGAGACAGACAAGAACATATAAAGTTACAATGAGCTTTGCCACGCCTGTCTGCTCTCCATCGGTTGATGGGTCATCTTATGGATGCTTAACACACACACACACACACACACACACACACACACACACACACACCCAATCCATACCTAACTTCAAAGGTAGCATCAATTTCCAGACTGCATAGAGCATCTCAGTCCAATGACGGCAAACAGGCACATACTCATTTGTCATAAATCACTCCACTGGAAAATGAAGACAGGCCAGCGGGAGGGGTGCTTTCCACCAGAGCCTTGGCCCTGAGCTAGAGAGAAGGCTCTGCCTCACAGCACCCTAGCCTCATTGCCCCCAGTGCCCTCTCGGCGACTCCTGTGCCCCCAGAGCACCTCTTTGGCGTTCATGTGGCACCTGGTACCGTTACCCACAGAGGCACAAGTTCTGTTTGAAGCAGCAAGAGGCAGACAGACCTGGAAAGGACAAAGGTGCACCCCCACCCCCACCCCCACCCCAATGCCTCTTACCTGCGGAATCTGCCGGGTCTGCAAGCACACTGGGGGCCGAGGCTGGGGCTGGGTCCTTGCCTCCATGCACCTGAGCGGCTTCTTCCTGGTGGGTCAGAAATGCAGAGCCCAGGTCAGATTCCAGGGCCTGGAGCTTCAGCAAGGAATTCTGCCAGCACAAGCAGAACATGGGGCTGGCTCTGAAGACGCCTGAAGGCCGGCAGCGGGACCCCAGCGCTTCACAAGCCCCTCTCTCCAGGGCTGGACAGGACCAGGGCCGCGGGCCCAGCGGCTGCAGAGGGAGGGAGACTGGCGGTGTGGGGTCAGATGCGCATGGCTCCACAGGCAGCCTCCGCTCCTGCCTCCGGCAAAGCCCGGCGTCTATGGATGAGCGGTGTGTGACACATGGGGCCGTGGTTTCGTCAGCCGGAGAACTAGCTGCGAAGGTGTCTGCTGCCCCACTGCTCTAGGCTTTACGCCTTGCAAGTATTTCATTCACTGGGCTGACATCAGACGCTGATGACATGAGGCCCCTCCCAAACGACCATTCATAAAAGCCATCGTCCCCCCACTGCAAAGCGTGCAGCAGACTGCAGCGCATAAGGAGTTACTGCTGCAGAGGGAGCTTGGCCTCTGGGAGGGGCTCCGCGCCCCCCCCCCCTACCATCTGCATCTGGGGGGCGTGTGTGTGAGAGAGAGAGCTCACTCTAAAGTTACTTCTCTCCCACTGCAGGACTGCAGTTGCTGTTTATCAAGAGCAGAGTTCTGAGAGATAACCTTGCCCCCCTACTGTAGCAGAGCCACTGAGGCAGAAGCAATTTACCTCTCACCGCCCCCAGCACAGCCTCCCACCGGTCCCCTTCGTTTCTCATGTAAAATCTCCCCCATGGTTCTTAATAAGCGCAAAGTCACACAGACTGACGCACACATCCTGCTGTGACGCAGACGCCCAGCAAATCTGTTCCTTGGACCAGGTGAAAGCGAGTCACGCTGTCTGTCCCCTCCGGTGCTGTCCCCGGCCCCGCCCCCCACTCCCCCTCAGGCAGGGCTCAGCATCGCTTCCCCCAAGCACCCCCCACCCCCAGAGCAGCCATCTGGAGGGCAACATTGGTCCTCTTACTATGCCCCATCCCCACACCACACACACACTCACTCCTTCCCGTTCATCCCCATGGTCCACATAGCGTATCCCTGATATTCACACTTAGCCCTCCATTCCCACCCCCAGGATGCTCACCCCACTCCCACACATTACTCTAACACCCTACCCTGCACCCCCATACCCGATCCACAAACGTCCGCACACCCTTCCCGCTCCACATGCCCTCCAACCTGTGCCTGGCACCCATATCCCACCCTCCAACACCCTGACAAATGCACCCCCTGATGCTCTCTGTCCTATCATCCACACAAATAATCACATCCCACCTTTCATATACCCTGCACCCTCATACACAGCCTTTACAGCCAACCCCCCCCTCACACCTCACTCCACACATGCTCCCAACCTGTACCCCAGACCTACTCACACCTGATCGCACACACACACCTCCTCTGCCAGTATCTCCTCACCTCCCCATGCCCCTCTCCACACACAGCCAACCACACATGCAAGGCCTATGCAGAGCTCATTTATTCTGTTCACGTGAGCAAATGTGATCCTACAGCAATATTTTAAACTGTTCCTTGAGAGATGACAAAAGTCTGTTATTTCTTGTCAACTTTCAAAGCATCAGGTGCCTAAGCACACAGTGGTGCTCACATCTGGTTCCAACCTCTCTGAGCTCAGGGGCTGCTCCATCAGAGACCCCAGCTCAGCTGAAGCACCTTCCAGATCCCTTCCAATTTTACGGCCGCCTTTCCTATCTGGAGACGCTTGTCCAGCGGCTGAGCAGAAGCCTCGGGTTGTCAACAGGCAGTCCGGAAGGAGCAAGGGGAACAAGCTTCTGAAAAGATGGGGTTACCAAGTACTGGGCGGTAGATCGAAGGACTCTGGGACTGCTTCCTACTAGAGGACCTTGGAAATCAGAAGAATCTCTCAAAATAAACCATCCTGAAAGCTAAGAAACAATGCCAATCCCTATCTTCAGTTAGAGGGAAGACCTGGTACCAGCAATATCACTCAAACTCATCTACACTCTGTTTATTTTACGAAGCAAAAAAGGCTTTAAGTTCATGCAGACCTGCAGTGTGCTGTGTGCCTCCTTTTGGGCAAGTATCTTGGCTGTTTCGAGCCTTGATTTCCTCATCTGTGAAAAGAGCAGATAATCACAGGAATAGTGACCACTGCTTCAGAGGGTTGTTCTAAGATGTCATGGCAAGCACTTGGCACTGTCCCGGCACATGGCATGGCAAACACCGAAGGGCTAGATGACCAGGTTCTCCGAGGTCATGTGTATTGTCTCCTAACCTTGGAGGCTGCTGGGAAGAGCTCAGGCCCTGGGGCACGCATGACCAGACTTTACACTGAGCATAAGATGCAGACCTAGCTGTGTTCCCTCCTATGACCTCACTTCCTGTAGCTGCCAAGGAAGTGCCTCCGGATACAGAGCTTCTAAGCTCCCTTCCAACTTGAAAGCAAGGGAAAGCAAATGCAAGGAGACTGGGGTGAATGCGCAGAATCTGGCACTGAATGAGCACTTGGACCGTTTCTGGAACTAAGCCACATGTTGCTGAAGCACAACAAAATAGCAAAGAAAATGAAATGACAGTTCATCACATTAAGGATAAGGAAGGGGTCTGGTGGGGCACTGGGTTATACACTAAACCCAAAGGTTGGTGATTCAAGCCACCAGCTGCTTGGCAAGAGAAAGATGAGGCAGTAGGCTTCCATAAAGATTTGCAGACTCAAGCCCTCAGGAGCACTCCTAGTTTGTCCTATAAGGTCACTTATAGGTTGGATTGACTGAAAGGCAGTACGTAGGTGGTGGGTCCAGAGAGTGGGTACACAGAGTATGCCATGGTTCATATTCAGAGGCCTGATGGCTCTCATATGGAGGGAGATATAATATTTACGACCCAGCTTGTGTTCACTGATTGGATTGTTTTCTATCTTCCGTTGCCATCTCCTCTCTCACTGGTACTCACACTGGAGCAGAAATAAGACTCCAAGTGCCAAAAGAGGTAAACTGGCATTTCTGGTGTATCCCGCTCTGAGATGCTAGAAAGAACTAAGGTTAACAGGACAGGAAGGAAAGGGAAGGGGGAGTGGAAAAGTGGAATAGAGGAGGGAGGATGACGGTCTAGAAAGAAAAGACCTCCAAGGAACAGAAAAACAAAACACTGTGCATTCTGCAAAAGCACATAGAATTTAAGACACACTGCAGCCCACGTGGTGGTCTACGCCACGCCACCCCCGCCTCACAAGCCATGGCCCGAGGACAAGCTGCTGATCAGCAGGAAAGGGCACCCTGGTTGGGGTGGAACCGTGAAGGGATACTCCAATGACCAACTTGGAACGGACCGAACGCAGGCAGAGTAGTGTTGGGGGAAGGGCTTTACCGGTGTGTGTCCCTGTGACCTGCATGTGCTTCTAGTAGCTGACAAGAGACTTGAGCATGTCGTTTAGAGCTGAGCTTTGTGGAACCCCAGCTTCCCACCACCAGCAGGCTACTGACAGTCATACCATGCACCTGTGTCCAAGTGCAGCTATGAGTATGGGGACAAACATACTGCTATGAATCTACAGATGCGGCCCCTCCTCAGGGGGTTTCCAGCCTAGTGAAGACACGGGTCACAAGCAAGCAAACAAATCAAGACAACGATGACAGTATTTCCACAGAGCTATGGAGGGAAGAAACCTACAATCCTGGGGAGAGACTAGCCAGCTGTTTCAGTATTCAATCCTGCCTGACTCCCTGACCTTTAATGTGAGACCGTGCTTTTCCCACTGCAGGCAAATGAAAAAAGGAATTATCTGTCTGTGGTCCTAGCCCTAACTCAACACAGTCCTCCTCTTACAAAGACTTCTGCTCCCTGTGATGCTGCCTCCAGCACATCTTCTGGAGGCAGGATGCTAGCAATTCCCAGGTGTATTTCCGAAGTCCCTGTGAATGGAGCTAAAGGAAAATGGAGTAACGGCTAATGGATCCTCTAGACAGCGCAACACTATCTGTTTCCTCAGCTCTTCTTTCCAGTTAAGAAAGAAGCAGAGGGGAGTCTGCAGAACTTACCTGTGGTTTCCCAAAGCTAATTTTTCTCTTTTACATCATGGAGAAAATGCTACTTATTTTAGAAAATACTCATTTTCTGTCATCTGCAATTACCCAGGGCCCACTTTAGTTCGGTGGGAACAGATAACACCTACACAGGCTGGATTGGGAAATACTATTATTTTAAAGTGGCGCCGTCTGCAATTTACCAGCTGTAGAGCAGGGGCCACCTGGATTTAGTTTCTAGAAAAGGTTTGGTGCCCCTTCACTTCTCATTTATCCCAGACACATGCTCTGTGGTGATATGAAACAAATCAATTAGGAAACCTCAAAATGGGGGCTCCAACTGGGTCCCCACACATCCATACATTCACTTACCACTCTCCTTCTCTAAACACCCATATTTTCTGAATATACGCCCCCTACCTCCTATTCAGAGCCTGTTCAGCTGTATTATTATTGAAGTCTTAGCTCCATCGAAGACCTAAGGTCACTCCAATGACCTTATTTAAGCAGTGTCCTTTGGTGTCTCTCTTACTTATTCACATCATAAAACTCACTATGATTTGAAGATAAGTCAAAAAGTGTGGCTTCTACGGTTGTCATTTCTACATCCACAAGTTTGTTCTCAGCAGCATGTGCTGAAACATCTCTGCATGCACCAAGGGTGGCTAGGACCTGCTCCCTGGGTAACACACCCTTTGAGTCTCATTGGGCTGTGTTCAAGAAGAAGACAGAGGTTTGATCAAAACTATGGCTTACAGCTGCTGCATCCCATCTGACCATACACCAGGGACGTGAAGCGCCTTGGTATCATGCTGAATGCACTGGAAATGGATAATCGGAGATGCAGGTAGGTTAAAATTTAGCATCTATCGTTTGATCTCCCTTGTGGCTCATTTTACATTTGTTCTGCTTTTTAATCTTTTCTGTTTGATTTTCAATTGAGGATTTT